TCAAACAAACACGCCATGCAGAAAAGTAGTCGCAAAAATTCCTGAAGCCTCTTGTCTGGATGAAGTCAGCCAGAGGGAGCCTCAAATTCTCAGGTTGCCGTGGGAGGTCAATTCAACTAATGCTTCCGGCCAGATTCTGTTCATGCTAAAATGACGCATGAATTGGCAGCGGAATTCAATGGACCTCCGACTTACGGGGTCCAGAAGTCACACAACAGATGTGTCTTGCCTCCCGAATGGAACGAGGCTGTGGTCTACCCGATTTTCAAATACGGTGACAAATACCTACCAGGTAATTATCGGCCTGCCAGCTTGAGTAGCGTGGAGGTTTAATTACTTGAAAAATTAATAAGAGACTAAATGAAGAGCCACGCGACTAAATTTAACTTGTCTAGTGTCGTGCAACATAGATTTCGCAAAGGATTTTGGTAGCGCGCGAGTGTTGGGCTGAAGACGTAGACAGTGGACGTGCAGTTGACATGCAGTTCATTGACTTCGCTAAGACATTCCAAAAAGTTGGGATATCATAGGATATCTGGTTGCACCCTACAGCATGTATTCGTGTTCTGAATGGACGGGAACACTGGGTACACGTGGGAAGCAGTCTTCTGTTTCGACATGTTGTCCTGAGCGGCTTCCCGCAGGGCTCTGACCTCGATCCGCTGCCGTTCGCAGTCTACCTAAATGACTTGGCTGGGGAGCTTGAGGTGCCATCACGTGCCATTACTGATGAACTAAAGCGCTGGAATTTATTAGATGTTCCTTGGGGTCCTGAGTCTCTTCAACGGGATCTAGGTAGACTATGGGACTAGTCTGTCTTGTGGTTGTTGCCTATAAATCGAACAATGTTCGCTGCTGCGTATCGGAGCACCTAGTTCTTACAAGATTTATGTGATCGATGGAGGTGAAATTCCGCACGTGACTTGTTGGGTTGATTTAAGTGTCATCAACTGCTCCATTCTTTGCTCCGGAGACAACTGGAAGAAGGCGACTAGCGAAGGATTTTATATGTTGTGGTTTATCCGTCGTTATTTCGGGACCCTAACAACCCATCTATTTGTGAAACTTTTCTCAGCATTCGTGCGACCCCACCTAGAATACTGCCTCCAGACCTGTCCAACATGCGTTTCCTGGGATAAAATGATACTAGAAAGGGTGTTGCGAATCGGTACTAGATAGATTGAAAGGTTAAGTGGACAGACGTACCCCGAGCGCCTACCTTGATTGGGGATGCATTCAATGGACTATCGACAGATTGGAGGGGATCTAATCCTAACTTACAGTATTTTAGCTGGAAAGTTTGGTCTTGATTTGTCTTGGCTATTTACTGTTGCTAGATTGTCTGGTCTTCGTGGTTATTGCATGAAGCTGGACAAGCAGTGTTTCGAACGAATTAGGGTGGCAACTTGGCTATCGTGTTGTTATCGTGCGCTGAAACTCGCTTCCAGAAAACGATTTCAGGGAATCTATGGTTAAGGGGTTTGAGCTTAAACTAGACGCCCTTGAGTGGCAACACGAAACCTATCTCTGACCGACTCCCATTTTCACACTTTGATTCTATTTTCTGTACCTTCCCTCAGCATTATCATCCTTTTCTTTCAAGTGATTTTAGTTACACCTTACCTTCGATTCCTATTTCTATCTCTTGTTCACTTTACGCAACTAGCACAGCAGTGAATGATAGTGCAGGAAATCTAGATATTAATTGATTGATCAGCGCGCAATTCGGGTGTTCAGCTTTAGGTCTTTCAAGAACTCGGAACGTTTTCGTAACTTCCGTTCCAGTCCAACCAGAACTTGAACATACATCGAAATGCCTATGACATTATGCGCCCACGTGTTGTCTCAACAATTTAACAGATAAACGGTTAGTAATACTGGTGAGGATTCGTAGTTTCGAAGAGTCCAAGATAGTTACAAAATATACGCTTTCACCGAGTCCGAACTGCAAGAAGTGGCTTACAAGCCGTTTTACCCAAATTGGATCAGGTGGAGCAAGCTGGCTTACTACGAATTTATCCAGTCATAGCAATGTTAAATTTTATGTAATATTGGCTAGTACCGGAAACGAAACTAATTTAACAGAACACTCGGAGCTGATAGCATGCGTCGTGTATCAGGACAAGTATCATGTACAGCGTATCGATCAGGTAGTTGAGAGCATCTCACCAATGAGTGGGTGCGCGATAGACAAGCCTTCACGTGCATCCGTATGAACAGTCAATGCCGGTGTGCGAATATCTTACTGGCGATGGTCACTCATACGCTATAAGAGAACATCCTGAATCATTACCCCAGGGTCGCTCTGCTGTGAGTTTGTCTCCAGGTCTGTAGGTTATTTGGATGGTGGCGTACATGAACTAGCTTACGCTTATTCGCGTTGAACAGGAGTACATCCATATGTGACTATCAAACCATAATCCTGGTTTCGTTGTAGCAGGTCGTGGTCTTTCTAATTACCAACAGTTACCATAACCTGATGTGTTCGGCAACAGCGAGGAACGCGAATCGATGAGAAGCCCGATGTTATTAATTAAGGCTATGTATATTGGACCTGACCTGTTAAGGGAATTTTAGACAAATGCACTCTGGCTTGTTGGTCAACGTCACTGAAAATTTTGTGGATTCGATGGCAACAGAGGGCAGTGCATTTCTCAAATTCCAGCAACCGTGAACTGGAAGCCTATTCGGTTCTGCTGTTGTGAACGTGAGACTATATTTTCAAGCGAACGATGAGATAGCATCTGTAGCGATACGCTTAGGGCGTGCATCTAGGACAGCGAATTCACCAGCTGAATGTCCTGTTTCCCTCGCTACAGTCGCCTCGCTAGATCTAGTGCCATTTGTCTTGGTCAGCCCGTTCAGTGCACTTGAGTAGATAAACACCACTTCCTTTTAAATTTTGACCTGGACCGTCCGAGTTGACCCTAAGCTGTCGGTTTGAACATGTGGAGTACATCAAATGCCGGTCTCGAGCCAAGATTAACGGAGCAACCATGAACATCAAGTCAAGAGTGCCAACATCCTCTTGTTGATCAAGTCGAAGTAAAGTACTGCTTTATTTTACTTGTACTCAAGAACTGGAATAGTGAAATTCTTAAAAAATACAGTAAGATGCAGTGAAGTCTAATAGGTTTGTCTAAATTTTTGTCAGTAGCCCGCCAAAATAAGTTACCTAAGAATGCGGAAACTAAGTTGTTCTCCTGGTCGACTAATTGGCTTGCAGACGTTTTTTGATAGGCGAGGTACTATCAACATTGTATTTTCCACGGTCTGGTTCGTGGAGCATCGTAAGCAACTTCTAAACCCAAGTACTAATTAGCCCAGTTCTGTCATGAATGCCAGGTCTCGAAGAACTCATACACTAGTCGGATTTCTACTCTTCCGGGGATTTCAATATTCTCTTGATATAACATTAGTGATTTCAGATTGCAAAGTGGATTGCTAGGCTATGTTCATACTACCTTGTGCCAGGCTTCTCCTTTTCATTCTACGTAGTATTTATCACAATTTAGGCAGTAGATTTCATAGACAATTTCTGATGCTTCTTCATTAACACGGTTGTGTTTCATTCTAAGGAGTTTGTATCGGATTGGTCCCGCCGATTAGTGGATAAACTTGACTCCAAAACGCAATAAAAGGGCCCCCAGCCATTTCTGAGGTTCCGTGGATGCATCATAACTTAGCCATCTTTTCAGCTGTCGGATATGCTAGGGTATGTTATGGTGCAAGGCAGCGCAGAATGAAGGCTTTTGGGTACGAGTACTGTTTCAGTAGACTGGATAAATTATCCTCCTCTGCCGGCCTCAACTGCGGTGCACCACAGAATGTTCGGACCCAATGGAAAAGAATCCTTACGCATATACGCCTGCAGCTTGTCCGATGACTGCTGCCGCATTTCAGGGTCTGATTCGTATGGGTTGTTTTCGATACACTGCAGTTTCCAGTGGCCTAGTAGTAGTCAGCAGTGACAAGCAAATCCGGGACCGGATGCCACTAACCAGTGGCAGTCTTTTGTAGGAATGATAACTACCCATTGTTATCCCGTTCCTCGATGAAATGGATAAGTTGGTATATCCCCTCTAGCTTTGAACGATTGAGGACAACGAAAGTGTGGCACGCGTAACCTCGATGACGAACTCAAAGATCGGCCATGCCATTAGTGTGCCTCAGCTGTAGGTAAAATCATGAGTTGAAAGTGAGAAGTGTTAAGAAACAGAATTCCAACAACTCCGTTGCTTGGGTGGCGTCGATTCTATTGTATGTATTAGATTATATGAGTGTTTTCAACAGGATTGCAATTGTTTGTTCAGGTCAAGTCAAAAATTTGCATTATGCACAAATGAAGGGTGAATATTCAGCTCTAACTTACACGCCACGGACAAGGATAAATAATTAAAACGAATAGAACGTGAGGATAGACATAAAACCACAGTCGTTAAGAAGACCGCACAAATATCACTGGAGTACTACACTAACCACTTCTTGAATGACACTTTTTATCGTTCAAAAAAGGGGATAGGCAAGGAACTACTGATGTGCCACAGGCAATTGTGCGGGCGCACAGTTTCATAGCTCTGCCTGGTCAAGGAGGTTTATACGCATTCGGACAATGCTCTGTGGGGGGGGGGGACAGGGATGGCTAACATCGATATTTGACATGCAAGTTCGCTATATGAGCTGACATTGCTGTCTATAATAATGTTAACAAGTTCCAGCCCTGAAATGCCACTACACCAGAATAGATGCTTCACTGAGCTGGGAATTACTTTGAAGTCCTTACTTAAAAGATAAGGAAAGTTCGCAAGAGAGTAATAGATCCAGTAGGGTAACACACAGGCAGTGACGAAACGCTGGTTCAGAGATCGGGGTACGGCAGAAGACCTGAGACGTGTAACATACGAGGAGAGCCTTCTAACTTTAGGGAATGTTTCATTCACGTGAAGGGAACACGTAAGCCCACTGATCAGTGTCATTCCTAGGTATTTTACTGAGGTAGAAGAGGTCAAACATGCACTGTCAATGCAAAGTTGCGGATAATGCGTTAGGATCTGCTTGCAGCGAATGCCTTTAAACAGCAAAAAAGGGACATCCCTGCGTTTTGAGGTATTGCACGGTAGCCAATGGGATTTGACCAAGCTGTGAGGTTGTCCAGGAGGGTTTGTAGTTTGGCCGATAGCTCCATGCTTGGATGACGGACGCCGAGGATTACGTCGTTCGCATACTTCAGCAAGATGACTTCTTTATGGACGGGGATTGTGGCAACATAAGTGGAAAATAGCAATGGGGTAAAACATAGAGTTCGTGGTGATTGAAGAAGAGTTTTTCCCATTAACCTGGTAAACTGGGTTCGCCTGGTGAAGTAAACTTTTAACAGAAGAACAACAGCATTCTGAACTCCAGAAATTAATAGATCTCACAACAGTAGTTCCCAGTTCACACAACCGAAAGCGTTACAAAAATCCAGGAAGCAGATGCGTATGGATTGTTTATTATCCAGTACAGTACAGTATGTATCAAACGTGCGACTGCATCTAAGGTGGACATTAAGCTACGATATGCAAACTGATGAGAGCCATCCAAATGGGTCTGGGCTGAGAGCCCTCTAACCCTTTGTGTCCTGGCAGTACTTAGAAGTAACACTTTGTTTAATGTGTAATACTACTTCAGGGCAATCGTCGTTCGTTCAGGTACTCGGGTGGATACGTACAATAACGTTCTGTCAACAATTAAATAAGGGCCAGAACTCCGATACTTTGCTCTACAGTGTGTGGAGTAAACGTTTGTGGAGCATGTCGATCTATAGGTAAATTAATTCAAGACTCAAAGGGTTAAGAAGCAGGCTCTCAAACATCTTCAAAGCCACCAACATGCAAGCGATCGTCCGATATTTGCAGGTACTGGTGTGATGTTTGCGCTTCGCCAACTGTCAGCTATCTTGTGCTGTTTAAAGCACGGTATGTACATGTGGACGGGCGGCTATGCCAGGTAGTCTGCACACTCTTTGAGAACTACAGAAGACAACTTATCCGGACCAGATGCTTTGATCACTTGCAACTCGGTTACTTCCCTTTGTACTTCTAGGCTGTTCACAGAAGGAGAGTTATCTGAGGCTAGCTGTAACAGCAGAGGATATCTCAAACAAGGAAGTGCTATCCGGGTCAGAAAAAATTGAGGTTTGGCTTTTCCACATCCGGAGTCAAATGCCTGACTTCGCGGGTGACTCTGCTTAGTCGATGCCAAATTTTACCTATTTTATGGTAGTTATTGTTTCCAAGTATGACGTGTTTTGCCAACTTGATGTTCACTGGTGCGAACAACCTGGCTACAGCAAAGGGGACCATCAATTCGTCCTGTTTTCAAGACATCGTTTTGAATTTTGCATGGGGCCGTTCTGCCAAATAGTTGGGGTACCCTGTGCCCCTACTTAGATACCTTTGTCGTTTCTAAAGCTTGTTTGAAAGTCGATAATTTAGTGTTTGAGTAGGCGATACGGCAGTAAGAAGAAGCGCTCCGCTTTTGTGTGCTTTTGGCACATCGTAGAAAGGCGATAGCACCGGATCTCCCGGTATCATCCTTTTGTGTGCATTATTTTGATCTGCCCTGTTTGTTTCAACCTTTGCTGCGTGTATTCACTGTTGCATTCTAAGTGTTATGTCGGGTCTTCAGTTATTGGCTAATGAGTGTTGGTATCCTTGCTATGCGTTAGGCATGTAATCAGTCCCGCCTGCTATAACGATGGACCTCCGTTATCCACCGGCTAGACTGATGTTTCTTAGCCTTGCAACGAAATGTTTGCAAACTAATAAGCCGGGTTAGAGAATAAACGAAGTCCCATATACCTACCCAAACTAAGGTATTCTCAGAAATTACCCCCGGATTCAAACAACCAGTCAATTGTTGATACCATGGACCGATTACCTTGTACAGAGTGCACTCAGTGATTGGAGGAAGCTTTTGCAATCGTTCTGATAGTGGATAGCTGGGAAGACCCACAAACCCAACACGAAACAACGCTCAGATGGACACTGATATTGAAGCGGGAAACAAATGTACCTAAACTTAAAGGCTGCAAAATGTTACAAATTCCATAATGACGCTGCAAAATTCCTTCTATTGTGCAGACGAAAATCAGGTTTCATGCTGGTCACCTTTGGCTGCAGAAACGAGAATTACTACTTAACTGGTATGCAGGCATCCTTCCAACCCTCCGGGGTAGGGGTGCGAAACCTGGCCCTTCAAGTCGACGGATATAAAGAAGCTAGTTACAATCGACCACCGCTGCCTTCACAGTTTGTATCATTTAGTGGGAACGCCGCTTGAGCAATGAGCGTGTTCGGAGTCGCCTATTTGGAACAGGAAGAACGAGTGCACTGCTTAGCACCGTGATATCACGCACCAGGCTCCGATGGCTGAGCCACGTCTTTACACTTGATGCTTAATATGGCACTAAGTACCATAGTAAGTTTTTTGTTTTTTTTGTTGTATGCTGTAAGTTGTGTATCTTCGTTTTGCTTCCATACATCTCTTTTTTCTGCCGCGGCACATTAGTTGATTCGTGTTTATTATATTCGGTTTCCATGTATTGAGGATTAAGATCGCGCTTGACACTGATGCAAAGGAAAGAAGCAAAGCTTATATTAATTATCTACCCGGCTAAGAGCGAATGGTATTGTTTGACGTTACCAAAGTGGTGAAAGGTTTGTTTTTTCCGCAGTAGAAACACGGGTTATGTTGACAAGTCCTGTGACTTTTGCATAGTACCGTAAACGATATCGTTCCCTCATCTGTCAATAGGTTTCGACCTGGTTTGACCTCCTTGTCGAACTGACGAGCAGCGATATCCTGGACTGACAAGCAACCAGGTCGATTCTGAACTGTTGAACAGACTTGCTCAACGATGTTTCATAATTAAATCACCCAAATGGACGTTGTCATCCCTCAATTCGAACTGCAGGTTCACACTACTTTAGAAGGCAATGGAGTGGGAAACGGAAAGATGAAACTGCGTCTTACCTGTTGACAGATGGAAGCATATCTCGCCAGAACGTTGGCATTTTCCATCATCGCTTGATAGCTGGGAGTATGTGGTCCGATTTTCAGAACGCATCTCCATTTAGCAAACCTGGCGCCATCCTGATAGTATTTCGCGCATCGATCAGCCAAACCATCGAGGCCTGTACAAAATGCACAATATACCGAACATGTCATATATAGAATATCAATACAGTGGCATTTCCAAGGCAAACAGTACTCTCGAGTATGTGGCGAAGTGGATGTGACAGTGCCCTTGTGGTGCGTGAAGGTCATCTAGGTGGTTTGCTCGTCAGAGTCAGTGATGACTAGATTTGCACATACACGATTGACTAATATCCCCGACGTAGCTGCGCTTTTATGCGAATGCTGACAAAGTGCCTACCTGTCGAAAAACCACTTCTTCGATTATACTGAAGTCAGGCGACAGTTGGTCGTTGCTTGGGGGAGACGGGATGCACGGTCCTCGTGACCTTGCTAAGCTCAAAGAGTGGTTCCATGCATCCAGTGTGAAGCGGACCACGGCCTAGTCATCACCTTGTGTTAGCCTGGCACTCATGATTCCCAACTTAGATGGACAGGAATGCTGCAACTGTGCACGTTGGAGGACAGTGGACTGGCTCCGTTGATGAAACGTGGCTCCCATCCACATGCCTCCCGGTCTCATTCCTTCGGGTTTACACTGGACACGGGGTGTGTGGATGGCGCTATGGATGGAGCAGCGCAGGCCACCCATGGTCCCTCAGTACGCATGGTCCTTCCGCGGCTGTTCGCAACTCAGAGACAGGCTAATCCTGAACCAGATGTCGCCAAACTCATAGTTTGATCCTAGGCTGTGGATTTAATGTGATGAAGTGGCTGTAACTGGAACTGCGCACCCACTGTATTCCGGCTCACCGGAATGGCCTACAAAGACTTACTTCAACTACGTGAGGTTTAACGCTGAAATTCTGTGAAAGAGCGACTGCGACTCAATTACTTTTTGAATGCAAAATCATACAGTTAACGGTACAAACGGCTTACATATGTGATAAGGATGGTGTACGCGGTTAATGCTAACTCATGGGTGACACGACAGGATCCAACCATAACAGTTGACTTTCCAAACACGTCTCATGCTGCCTGGTATTAAAACTTACTGAACGTTAAGAGGATTTTCGTGCACCGGTTGTTAACACTATTCACGTAGCACGATGTCGTTCCAGGTTTTGTCGGTGATGTGTGCTTTTTACTTTTACGTGCATGCCACACCTTACCACAAGATGTGATGCATTGCAGCGTAACAAAAATTTCAGACTGAATCAAGGTGTGTGCAATGAACCGCTGACACAGATAAACAAATGTCATAAAATATTTACTCATTCCGAGTTGGCGGCGGAATGGCGTGCCTGACCGAACGCCTTGAAAAACATAATCATGTTTTGATCCGAGTGTGGTAATAACTAGTCGATAAGTGATGTATGCCGCGCTGTAAGGAGCAACACGATTTCGGGGTCTACGCGCAGCATCTTTATCTGCACACTTCACTTTTGACCATGATCCTTGCATAAGTTCACTTACTTCACTATATTGAACTCATCTTCAAATTAAATGTTTTAGATGCATCTCTTCTTCATAGCGCGCCGCTCTCCCGCCTCATCTAAAACACATTGAGCCAAACGCCACTGGCAATTGCGAACAACTCGTTTGAACCTTTATGAACAAGGGAATAGAATGGTAATCTTCGTCGCTGCATCCAGTTAGGACATGGAGATATGGGACTACCGCAGAAGATTAGCATCCACATGGCACACTCCGTATGAATGCGCCTCGACAGGGGTCATACCATCGTGTACTTAGGTCTGGTCTACGGTCGCCAGAAGGTTGCTGATATTTCATGCTGTGGCAATATATCGCTTCAATGCAATCGGAAGTTAAAAGTTTGATCAAGGCTCTGTTTGATCTTGGGGTTTTCAATGCCCTCCTCCAGTCTATGTGGGTAAGCAACACTGTTAGTTGCAGTGGGTGTCTTGTGGCTAAGTTTGGTGTTAGATGGATCACTCAGAACACAGTGGACCCTCTTAGCGATCCAAAAACAGCGTAACGAGGCGATGAATGATTTCTTGCCATCATATCATATTTGACATATACTACGGTTTCACTGATACCGATATGCCTTTACCAGGGTCGACACGCAGAACCATGCAATTCTGCTGAGCCACGAATATGAGAGCTTATTTGACTCTACGGACGATGGTTGCGTCCACTACTACTGGGGTGAACTTCAGCGCGCAACGCCCACACTTCCTTTGGGCAGATGCTTTGGAGCTTCATTTGAGTGTAGCTTGTTCCAGTTGTACAACCGCGGGGAAAAGCATGTGTATACGCCCCCACTTACTACGTCGAACACGATAAAAACTTGCTCGTGGACTGAGTCAACGACCTAACCGGATTTGGGTGAACCGTACTTATCATTCCCTTAAATCTTAGAGGAGTGCACCAGAGTCACCATAAAATATTAATTAAAAAAGTAATAATAATAATAATAATAATAGGTAGAAACACACCACATGCCATAGCGGCTAAAGCCAAATTAAAATTAGGACTCAGACAGCATATTAATGCCCAGTAAATCGAAGTCTTTAAGCTCGAATAAAGGGTTAACGTAACGCATACAATAGGTTATTGATTGCCAAGTAAAATACATACGATTTAAAGATAACAACGCTCGTGTGCCCATCAAACCCCGAACCCCGTGAAACTAGCGTTCACGCCAGATACAAGGGATTATGCGAGTTACAAGTGTATTTTGTCTTATTGGTGTACTTCCCTAAGAGCGGAATTGGCGATGCAAAGCACAAAAGATTTAGGGTTATCTGACGAGATTTTCGGCTATGTCCCAAGGTATGTTTTGATTGCTACCACCGGACGATGCTACGCTGTTGAGTAAAATTCAAGCAGCTTTGCACACGCTTGCATATTGAAGTGACGTGGGCACACAATTTCAAGAAGGCATTGTCGTTTACGCAGTTATACTAGCGTCCCTTCAATCCATTCACCCAAGTTTCATCTTTCCGCCTCCTCTGTCATTGTTGAAGTACTTACACCAGACTAAATGTTTGCATGCTGTTGCGTATCGGGGTCGCAACGTCTGTAACTACGACGCGTGTGCTCGATACACGTTCCGTTACTCCGATGCCTTTTTACTTCTGTGGACACAACAATGACGATCCAACGTTAGGTGCATGGCCGCAAAGTACTGTTATTCCGCAATGGTTCATCGTTTAACTTCCAGCAGTTGGGACGGAACCAAATCCGAGGTGTCCTTATACGTATTCAACTGTTTCATACTACTTTTCTCTTTTTCTGTTCAACTAACTGTTTGAAGTAATCAAGGGGACAAGTGATATTTCTCTTCTCTGCCAATCCGTCTCAAAATAAATTTTCTAACACTGTTGTAGGCGCTGCTCCCGGAGTTTGGTGACCTAAGGGTAGGTTTCGGGAACCGTGACTCCTATGGCCAAATACGCGACTGACTACAACTAAGAACGAGACGGGTCTCCTGCAGCCAAAATTCGAAATTTGTTTACGTTAGCTGCGCTTTTTGTGGTCAGAAGGACGAAGATTCTATCCGAGGTTTCCATGGTCCAAACAGAAATGGCCCTTACCAACAAGCGCAGACGACATGTGTTCCAATACGCAATATCATATCCCTAGCTGATGTGCAAAGTGGTTGCCTATCGGCTCGGAATTCTAGTGGTGCAGACGTTTACCACCAACCTCGAAATCCAAAGTACGAGTAGCAGTGTCGGTTGTCTCTGCCTACGGTGACCAAACGAAAACGAAACTAATCGCGAAGTGTATCCCTTGGTTAGTCATCGATACAGGAACTTCATTCTGTCTTGAGTGCATTGGTCCTTAGGCAACTCCTACTCCGTGACACATGTCTCCCTATCTCGCGTGATCTGTTATGCCGGAAAAGGGAGACTTGTTAATGGAAACCGATCCAAGACCTTAACACATCGGCTGTTGCGCAGGACCGTTTCTCATTGCTGTATCGTTTGTATGCATTTGTGGCCCATGAATAAGTGCATGGATAAACACCATTTGTTCTACGCCTTACACTTTCTTAACCGAGTTTGAGTGTTGAGCTCCCAGCGGATACTCAGTCAGCCCGCTATGTCCAAGTGTTAAGAACCCTTTTACAAATCACTGGTCACCATATACGTTAAACAGACGTAAGGTTACCGCTTGGATTTTCATTCAGACTATCTGAATTCGGGTAGATTAAACAATATGACGATGGGCACGGAATCGTGCGTTTTGAAATTGTAATAAAGGCACTATATATCATGGCTCTTCCTTAAATTAGGCCGCATGAGCGCTTCACACGTGTTCTAGGCCTCATGTAGAATGGATGTAATTCTGCAGACAAGAAACGACAAACTATTTCACAGTTACCTTGGGTGGTACACTCTTCGAAAGTCCCGGCTAGCGGGACCACGCCTTTGTCCACCTTGATTCCCGGAATGATACCTTTCTTCTCCAAATGCTCAACCAAACGCACACCATCATCGGCCACGTGATAGAATGTTTCGTGAAACAGAATGACGCCGGAAATGTGCTCAGAGAGAGAATCATCCGAAGTGAACAACAATTGGCGGTACAACCGCCTGTTTTCTTCAGAATTCTCCACACCGATCTTTTTGAAGCGACTTCCAATGGTTCCTGCAAAGCGATTGATATGTGCTGTATTTGAAAACTAGCAAGAAGCTCAAACTACCTAAAAACCATAAAATCAAATTTATTTAGACCAGTCAACACACAAGCGATTGAAAACTTGGAATCACCGCGACTGGCCGACTTTGCAATCTTGAGCAACTTTGTTCTTCTGTGAGCTAGACCGTCCTCCCTAACTCTAATGATAAACACAAGCGCTGCAGGTGGGATTAATGGATAGGCTGTTGCTCAGCATATATGCATTCAGTGTGGTCGATGTATACGGCAGTTTTGGTGCTGGAAGAAAACGCCGAAGATAATTTTCACAAGGGGTGAAATAAGAACTCGGGAAGGAGTGAGCGAGACAAACCATTACATCCAAAATTCACAGCATTCTATTCGTGAATTTCAGCAAAATTACAGTGCACGTAGATGTATGAAATCAACCACGTCGTTCGTTTCGATTTATTCAAATCGTACATAGCGGGAACAGTTCCCAGCTTAGCCGTTTATCAATGAAGTGCTATCTTGTCTGTTCTCAGTGTCTCTGCATTTTGATTTGTGCTGGTTGTTATCAGATTCTTTTAACTATCGTTGTTTTTACCCCTTTTGCGATACTCCGCCTGAATGAACCTGAACGATTTCTGGCTGTTATCAGTTCCGAAGTCTGGTTGAAACAAAATTGATGGTGAAAAAATCAATGGAATAGGTATGTAAATGAAAAACATTGTTAAACAAATGACGCTCACATTCGCAGAGCAAGGGTTGACAATCGTTTGGAATATTTCAATGAATGTCTAAACCAGGGGTAAACAGATAGGGCTGTGTGCTGTGCGAAGACTCCTACTCAAATTGCAACACATCTGCCAACTGGTGGAGGATCGGCGGCTTGCTGAGTGGTATCACCTGTGTACACAACTGCTTCGGTACAATGAAGGACGATTTGTATTTCTGATCGGTGGCATATAAAAGCTTATGGGAAACTGGAGGAGTAAAATAAAAGTCCGGGTGGAATCCACTACTGGTGCAAAAGTTGAACGCAGAACAGTGAGAACAGCCCGGATGCGAACGAATCAAAGAGCTACGCGTTTAATCGGGTTAGCTGAAGGTTAAAAAGGTAGTCTGACAGAGTCAAATTACGAAACACATTGTGATAACATCATGTAAGAAATCAACCAGCAGTTACACAACAAAACTACTGGGACTACAGCAACGGAAGGAATAAACACATGTTCAGTGTACAAATATATATATATATATATATATATATATATATATATATATATATATATATTGCCCCATGCTGAGGCTGATGTTGCATTCTTGATGCTTCTTCACCGCAGTTGGGCTAAACCAACTTACACTTAAACTAGGTCTTTTTAAGCTGGATAAATTTCATTCCGCTTTATTTGGTTTGTTCTGCCTCCCTGAATAATGTTCTATTAACTGGCCACGTTGCTTACACTAATTGCGCTTATCTTCGGTAATTTTGTTGCGTTTGTAGCATTTTAAGTAACTTGTGGACATTTCTTACTTATCACGGAATTGTTGCTGACCAACTTACTTCATATGGTAATTTAGCGAAGAGTTATACCACCGTATCTGTATGCATTATTGGATTTATTTTATTTCAGCTTATCGTTTAAATTGAATGGCTGTTGTTTGATATCCCTGGTATGGTTGCGCTTGATGTGTATGTTGACAAGGTGTCTACCTGTCTATTACCCACTACATCGTTCATACTGGCTCCAGGAGACAGTTGGTCGTTGCTGGAGGGGACGGGGTGCACGGTTCTTGTGGCCGTGTTAGGCTCAAAGAGCGGTTCCATGCACTCAGTGTGGAGCGGACAACGGTCCAGCCACCGCCTTGTGTGCGGTTGATTCCCCAAATACAGCGTGTTTGTGTTTGCCTGTGAAGGAGTGTCGGCCGGCTCCGTTGATGAAACGTGGTTCCCATCCGCATGCCTCCCGGTCTTATTCCTTCGGGTTTACACTGGATATGGGGTATGTGGTTGGAGCTGTGGGTGGTGCAGCGCAAGATATCCATGGTCCCTCTGTAGCCGCAGGCGGTCCTGTGGCTTGCCACAGTGACAGGCAAATCCGAAACCGGATGCCGCCAACCACCATGTATGTATGTACGTATTCAATAGTCCAAGAGATGGGAATGAAACCCTCAAGGAACCAAATGAAAGAGGAGTACAAAATATAGAACGAAACATTTTTAGTTTGTTTTTCACATGCGCATTTTTACTTTTCTTTCATTTTCAATGTCTAAAGCATTCAACTTTGGAATCAATACAATTCAGTATGCATTTCTTCTACTGATTCCGGTTGCAGACCATGTCTTCAAGCGTGCTAAGCGATGGGTGCTCATCCTTGGATCGACATCCTGGAAGACGCACGGGTCCAACGATGGCTAGACGCGATGTTAGCGATTTCACGTGCTATCCCTAAGTGGAAGGCGGACCGACACGCGATAGCCTCCAGCTCGGCACTTGAGGAGCGAATAGAGCGCGACGCGGTAAATGCTCAGACGCCATACGTAGAACGTAAAAAGCTATCTCAATTGGGACAGCAAAACCAGCTAGTTGAAGGGAATATTCGCATTCCCCACGACGCGACGTCGAACGTCATCACTGTAAACCCGATGTTGCCACCACATATGAACGATCCTCATTAAACAACCATTGTCGAAGGCAGAAAGACGACACATGTCCCCACCAAATTGACCACGACTCGTTCCCATACAGCGACAATGAACGAACAGCGGCATCGTAAACACGATCCTTTATCGAGAACCAGACGTCATGACGAGGCCACAAGTGCTTCAGATAGACAAATTCTGATCTAACTTTAGTGATGTAAAGAGAAACATGACAGTGGAGTTTTGGAGAACCCGCTGTGTGTCTTGGATTGTCACATGCAATCTCAATTGTTGCTGTGGTTGACGTTGAAGTCACCCTGTGTCATTCTCATCACTGGAATTGTATCCGACCGAAGTGAAGGGTTTTGGTGTTGCACTCTCCCTGCAGTAGAGTGCAGAGATGAGAGAGTGCAATACTGAAACTCTTCACTTGGTAGAGAAACTTCCTTGATGATAGTGCTGCCAGCAGAAGTGCAGCTCTCAAGGTAGTCGGAACCATCTACTTGTTCCAGTTGTGCACCTTCAAGGGTGAGCATAGGAGCATCACCATTATCATACATGTTAACTAGAGGTGGAAAACACCCCTGCTATTGTGCCGCAAAGCAAGGGAGCAGGTGTCCGTCGATCTTTGAGCAACACTTTGCACCACGATAGGGCGAAGCTCATGTCATTCTTAGATGCTACAAGCGTCAAACGATCCAAAATGAGTTGCATACCATATCGATTGTCACCAAGTAAGGCGATATCATCAGCGTAATCTAAGTCGGTATGGTACTCATCCGATAGAAGCTCTATGCCGAAATTTTGGAAACCTAGGGATCTCAAAAGGATGTCCTGGATTGCGAAGTAAAAGATGAATGGGGACATAAGGCAGCCCTGCCGCACACCGCTATTAAAAGCGAAGAGCGAGAAAAGCCGGCTTCAAGCTGTCGGAGACATGAAGAAATGTGCATGTAAAGTGGCGGTACAGTTCGCTGGCACTCCGTTCTTCAGCAAGCATCGCCATAAAGTAGGTCGTTGAACGGAGTCGAATGCAGCCCGTATGTCTAGGGATGCGATGACATTGGGACTGGGGAAATGTGGCAATGTTCGACGAGTTGGCGGAACGTGAACATTGGATCCACGCATCCACGGCCGGGACGGAAGTCAGCTTGTTCTTCAACGTAGTATGATTCATGTACCGGGGATACTCTACGAAACAGAATGGATGCCAATAGCTTGAAGGCAACCGAAAGAAGACTAATCCCCAGATGATTTGAACACGAAGTGCGAGCGCTTTTCTTGAAAATCGGGACGATACCTGATTCGCCCCAGGAGGAAGGTAATTAGTCTTCATGTCAGATTTTTGCGAACAACGAGGTCAGCCGATTAATGACCGCCACACCGCCGTACCTGAACAACTCCGGAGGAAGTCCGTCCGAGCCGGCAACCTTGGATCGCTTCAAGCGATGAATCACGAAGCAGACTTCCGCTTCGCTGGGTGGATACAGTGGGACGATCTAGGCTAGAAAATAAGGTGTACTGCATGCACTAATGCACGGTTCAAGCCAATTAAATTGTGAGTGAAAGTGCTCGGTTCAGCGTTCCAAATGTCCCTGTCGGTTGGTACTCGAATACACGTATGATTATTACCCACCGTTTATGTCCAATTTCACGGCAGCCCAAGTATACATAATTCCATAAATAAAGTACAGTCTCTCAGGGAAAATATTGGTATGGAAATCGACAAAAACTGCCCAAAAGGTTCTTAAAACCCTTACTCTCGCCATAACAAAACGTATTGCAGCCTTATTCCAGAGTTTGCTTGATGCCCATACACTCCAATCTGGGTGGAAAGGTGAAACCATTACCCCAATATACCAAGGAGGTTAGCAATCGGATCCTGGAATCGGTAATCGCAGGTGAACTGACGCGATATGTTGAAGGACTGCAAATAATTTCCAATGTCCAACATGGTTTCAGACGCAGACGATCTTGCCTCACCAATCGAGTTCATACTCGAAACTCATTGCCCATAGCAGCTGATGTAGGAGCCCCCATAGCTGTGGTTGAACTAGACTTTTCTCAAGCATTCGACAGGGTCAATAACTTCGTTCTTCTCCAAAATCCTGCTTACGGTACCAAGGCATCCCTGCTCGTCTGGTCGGAAAGTTTACTACAAAAACAGCCAACACTCACTCCGAAAGCCTGTGCATCTTCAGTGGTGCACCACAAAGATCCGTCCTCAGCCAGTTGCTGTTTTTAGTTTACATAAAACTTCCCAGCAAACATTTTATCCCCGATGCAAATATTTTCAGATGCTGCTAAAATATGTACAGCAATCCGCTTAGCCAATCTTCTCGGCCGGTGGCCGAGTTGTTTGCTCA